GTGATTCAATGATTCTATGATTCTACACTGAGTTACCTAGCAAGAAGGTGTTTTGTATAATTCACGTGCACCCTGGTGTACTTATACATACACGTAAGAATGGACATTTATACATTCCTTTCCTCTTTGTTCTTTTCTCCTTCCTTCTCACATCTGTGCCTTTAGTGTACAGCTAGAATATAAATTGAATAAAAACCTGCTTTTACTCATGTGATTATTTCCACTTAATTCAACAGGGAAGGCGACAGTGCAGTGACTCGGGTAGGCAGGGGTGCAGACCCACTGTCTGGCTGGCATTATGTGTCTTTGTCTTCTATCAACTCACGTACCACCAGACTGCTCAAACTCAGGATTTCAAGAAGTCCACTAGAACTGACAGCTGAAGTCACAGTCACAATGGTTTATAAAATTTGCTGTGATGACTTCTCAGACCAGAGTGCAACCATTTTGGCTGGAAAAGCTGACTACAAAAATTCACTTATGATATAAAACTTCAGCTTCTTTTCTGGAAACATATTTAGTTTGAAGTGCACTCTCATATCACAGAAGACAGCATACTTTTGGGCATAAATAACATAAAACACATGATAAAACATAGTACCTTAAGTCAAAATATATTTGCTTTTTCAGGTAGCTGTGTAGAGAAAGCAGCTAGTTAAGCAAATGATATTTCTACGAATCACAATTGTTTATACAACAAAACAATATAAAGACTAAATTCACCAGGAACATAAGCAAGCAAAATTCCACTTACTTTAATGAAACTTTGCCTGTTTAAGCTAAACCAGTGGTGAAAATGCTGTAATTCTGCAGACAATAAACCCTGCCTTCCAAACAGAAGGCCCATTTTTTGAGTATGGCTGAAGCTGTAGTAATACAAACTCATCACTGGAATCCTTTCTGTAGATTACAGAACACTGGAAATTAATGGGTATGTAAGCAAATATAGTGAAAAAAACTTGTAAGACAGATGTCAAAAAAATACATTGCTCATTGGTTTTGTCAGCTAGAGACTGTTTTGTTACTAGTTTCTAATGTTAATTTGTAAAGCACTTGTAAACACAAGTCCTTTGTGAAAACAATGAAGCCTTAGTGTTATGATGGCTCCTTCCAGCCGTGCTGCAGATGCACTGAGGAATCATGGACTGCGCTCCTGATCTCGACAGAAATCCAGTGATTACATCCAAACAATGGAAATGGCTTACCTTGTGTTTCCTTTTGGATTTTGTGGATGGTTTTTCGGCTGCTGGGGTAGGGGACTCTCGAGATGGTCGTCTGTGTTTCACATTTGCTTCTCTTGGTTCACTTTTCACAGAGGTGGTCTCAAAAGGCTCTTGTCCAGGTATCCTAGAGAGTAAACTAAGGTCTATTTTCACCCACAGAGATTTGAGCTCTTCATATTCTCTCAGTGGGGACAAAAGTTCATTTTGTACGATTGGGATAGGAGAAAAGAGCTGCTCCTCCAAGTCATTGCTGGTCTGGTCAATGGATGTGTTGCTGCCATTGCTAGTTAAACTACTTACGCTGAGGATGTTACTGCCAGAGTCCTTCACTTTGATGCCATTGCCAGACCCAGTGCAAGGTGGCAGTACCTTAGCCTGTAAGCTCTCCTCCTGGTCTGTATTTGAGTCAGAAGTAGATGAATCTGTTTCGATGAATTCCCGGGACTTGGGGACAATTTTGCTGGGCCCTCTGTACTTTTTCTTCTCTGAAGTGAGACCTGTGCTAGTTCGTGGTTCTTTCCTTGGAGCAGTCTTCCCAACTGCTGCTTTAGTTCGAACCTTTGGCTGCTCTGGGGGTTCCTGTGTGTCTTTTTCTTTGGGAGTGTTGCTGGTATTATTTGGTTTGGGCCAGTTATACTCTTCTACACTGGAAGTCCTTTCTACCTTTTTGGGTTGCTTTTTCCCAGTAGTCCTTTGTGAAGTTGGCTCATTATGAGCTGGTGACTTCTGCTTGGAGCTTTTAGCCTCTGGCGTTTTCTGGACAACCCGTGGTTTGGCCTTCTCTCGGATGGGACTAAGGATCGCCCGGTCTTTGGAATCGGTCGGGGGCAGGCTGCTGTTGAGCTTCCCTTTGTTTGGCCCTTCAGCCTGCTGGTTGCTCTGGGCCTGGGAGCTGGTCTCACTGTGAGGCTCATTTTGATTGTTGATGATGGTCTTGTTGTGGGGGTTCACTTTATTTAGCCATTTATCCAGCTGCCATTTGTTTGTTGAGGGAGGTTCAGGCTGCAGTTGGAGGAACAAGAAGGAACAAATCGCAGACAGAAGCAATGATTTTCTCTTTAAATGAGAACGTTTTTAATGTACCCTTTTATTTCAGTCAACTAGTGGTGACTGCTAGTTTTATGGGAGTATTTATGGACTATTTATGGTTAATTAGGCTTCCTTATCTGGTTTACAATGTGGCCCTGGAGAAATTTAATACAACTAAAAAGTTTAGCTGATCCCTGAAGACATAGTTTTGTCATGTTGCCTTTCCTTAGTCCCAGGTGAATACTGTGTCAATACAATCTTCTCTAGCTACTGGCAAAAATCTGAATATTTCTTTAAAGCAATTCAAATGTAGACCAGAAGGATTCTTCCGAAAGCTAGAATGGTTATGTGGGTCATAGACATTCAATTGTAGAGGAAGAAAAAAAGTCGACAGCATCAAACAGCACAGAACTCCATCACTTCCCTAACAGGGCACAGGATTTCACTCACTTCCACGCTTCCCCCTCTGAGCCCTGACTGGGGAGAAACTGAGAGTGTGGCTTTACCTCTGGCGTGGCACTGCGTGACTCCTCGTTGCACTCGCTGTCACTGGAGCTGCTCTCGCTGTCGGAGTCAGACTCAGAGCTGCTCTCGGACTCACTGGAGCTCCCGGAGCCACCGCTGGAATGAGCCAAGCTGGTTGTGTGTGCCGCTGGCACTGGCAGACTGCTGCAGGGAGAAGACCTTGTGTTGGTGCTACTTGTCTTTTTTTGAGTGTTGCCTTGGGGGAGCCACCCAGTGAACCCTGTTCACACCAACCTTCCTCAGTGTCAAATTCCTCTCCAGCTCCAGCAGTCATGCCACTATGTAGCCACCCAAGGAGCCGGATGAGTTTATACTTCACGGAACACACTGATAATGGTGTTAATAACATTATCATTGTCATCGCCCTCAAATGAGAAACACTTCGGTGTCACAAGCCTGAGCTTATTAGCCCAATGACTGCAAAAACTAACAATCGCACTTAAATAATTCATTAATGGAATCTTGGTTTCTTCATTTTTTGCCGGTTCATTTATAATTTATGATCAAAGGAAGGACATCAGGCAACTAATATTGGACAGGGCATTTTAAAAATTAATTTTAATGAATACTTTTACACTTTGGCATACAAAACCTACATATTTTTGACAAGTCTCCAGGAACTGCCCAAGTATTTTTTGTTTATAGCTGTTTTTTCTCTCATGTTTATGATAACGCAGTAAGAAAATGGCATTCATGCTGAAAATAAGCCTCTCTGTGAAAACTATTTTTCCTTGTGTTCAACTGTCTTCCAAGATGTATTTATTAGCAATACGCTGGGTGTCATTGTTTTTCCTCTGCATTTATTCCTAAACTGAGAGGTTGGATAACCCCAGTTTTTAGCATTACAGAATTCGGACAGTCTGAGGCCTTATAAACTCATCTTTAGTTTCAACTTTTTGTCAGGGAGATCACCATAAGGTTTTATGTCTCTTCAGCTGATCTATACAGAGACTTTTTTGATGATTGATTTTAAATTTGTGAAGCTGACAAAGCAAAGTGTTTGAAAATTGACACCATTTGCTAGTACTCCTTTATGGTTATTCAATATTTCACCTTAATATATCATGCGCTGTGCGTGTCCCATATCGAGTGATTCGGAGATGCCTAGAAGTTATAATACAGCTTTGCATTCCTTTCTGCTATCTGCTTCACTACTTTCCTCCAAGGATTCAAGTAAGCCAGGTACATGCTCTCTTTCCCCGTTCAAAAAGAGACGATATGTGCATCAAGATGCTCTCTTAAAAAAAAACCAAAAACTGTCACCAAGAAACTGGAAGTTGGAAAAGCCAGAAAAAAATGATGTGTGACCCTGCTCTGCTAGAGTCTTCACAAGTATTGCCATTGTCTTCCGTGACAATAATAGATGGTCTTTAATTTTCTTCTTATGCTAAGCTACTTCCTCTCTCCCTCCTTGTTGGTAAGCCTGTCCCTCCCATGGCGGCTGGTAACGTAACTGCCTCTCGGAGCGCTGCAATGGCCCTGCAGTGCCCACTGACACAGCAGCTTGGTGCTTCAGGGTGCATTAATGACACAGAATCACTCACTTGGGTAATTGCTACAGATCACTAACTTTGTTGCTCATTAAGTGCGTATACGTTGGGTTTTTTTTTTTTTCTTCCAGTCTCTCCTCACTCAACTGACTCAAGAAGAGCTACTTAAAAATTTCAACTGGAAGTAACAGGTAACTCAAAAGAACAGATGCTTTTAAAAATATGGGCATTTACATTAGTACGGGAAATTAAACATTGCTGAATTCAAAAACGGATCTTACACTTCGTACATAATGTCATTATTTTTGGAAACCATTTGTGCCCTTGTTTTTCTTTCTTTATCCCTCTTTTCAGCGAAGCACGGGAAAGTGTAAGGAAGTAAATTTTTCACTTATTTTTTATAGTAAGCAAGGAAACAGAACATAGGAGAAAAAGTGAATATGTTTGTAGTGGGTTTGCCTTTCAGTTCAGTATCTTGTAAATTTGTTCTTATATTTTCTATTTGGAAAACAAAGTAGGCGAAAACCGAGTTTTCCTACTTCATTACAATAGTTTCCAAGAAGAACTAATAAAAAATACAGAAAACTTCGAGGATTCCCCAACTTAGGAGGCAAACCAAAATGAAACATCTCCCTTGAATTATTTACGGAATTATCAGAACAACGAAGCTGTTGAAAATTTAGAAATTACTTTTTCCCTAAATCTGTGAGCTTCATCTGTTTCACTTCTATTTTCTGATTTCACCCCAAAATGGACGTGCACACAGCAATATTAATGTGTCGTCCTCACTGAAAACTCAAGCTGCCACAACCCTGGCAGAGAGCTGGCTGTGAAGATGAGGAGATGTTTAACCCTCAGCAGGTCTCTGAGAGCCCAGGGCTGGGCATACGGTGCCAGCCTGCAGAGAGCAGCGGGGTCCACGGCTGCACCCAGCTGGTGGGGAATCAGCCACGTCCCCTGCGCCCGGTTCTGGCAGGGAACCAACGCACCTCTGCAGCAGGGCATATCACCTGCACCGCGCCCTCGCAGCGACTTGCCCGGGGTGGTTTATGCCCACACAGGAGAATGTGTGTGGAGCTGCTCACACTTCTCTGCAGATCTGCCTAAGAAAATGCTCTGTTGTCAGTGCTGGCAAGTTTGCTCTCATTAAGATAACCGATTTAAAGAGTATCACCTCTTAGAATAGATGAAAGAAGGAAAAGCCAGTGTCCCAGCAGCTAAGGCCAGACCTTTCTAGCCTTTAGACACATCCTACGTCTTTTAGCACTTTGGAAGAGAACTGACACTGCAGCTGGGATGCGCTTACACAAAACAACTGGAGTTTCACTGTAGCAGACCGCAACTGTCTGATAAAGAACTCAAAGGGCAAGAATAAAACCACAGAAACAGACGGCAGCTCCAGCCTGGCCTTATTTTCTTTCTTTCTGCACACCAGCCTCAGAAGAAGTTATCATATGCCAAATATTACTGAGTAACACAGCTCAGCAAGCTTGCAGGAACCAGACAGATTCAAAATAATGTTTTCCATACAAAACGCAATGAGGTCATCTTTGTCTTTCATCTGGGATAATAAAAGTATGCCTTGGCTACGTAGGGCAGTAGCTGCTGAAGACATCACTGCTGATCAGCATTCTTAAAGTAGAAGCGTTCACTTTTCATCAGGTAGTTTGGGTTGAGAGTAACTCCCTTTGCATGCCTTGCAAAACAACCAGATAAGATCCAAAATGCCTTTCCTAGCATCTCACCATACCAAAGATAGAGAGATCTTGCACATAGCTACATGCACAATCAACTAATAATGCTGTTCAGCAGAACAGAAGAAAATACACGGACCTTTCACATACAAGTGCACGGAAAAAGAAAATTTGATTCCAAAAAATTAGTTCAGTGGAGAGATTCTGGGTTGTCTTCTGGGTTTTTTTCCTCAAATAAAATGTATCTTTTAGTTCAGCAGAACAGGTTGGTTTGCATTCTTCCCAAAGACTTCTTCAGCTTTAAAGTTAAATCACGTGTTTTAAAAGATGCTGGGATAGATTCAGCATTCAAGCAGCTGTCACAGAAATAAATTAGGCTTCTTCATATACATATCAACTACATGAACTGGCGGTTGCCTCTCTCCGAGACTTTCAAAGCAAGCTTTGTTGTGTTGCTAAGATCCAGACAAGGAATGCCAGCCCGGACAAGGTTTAAAATGGATTTAAAGTACTTCATCAGCAGACACAAGTTGTCGAAGTGAACTAAAGGGGACAGGAAGCACTGGTATTTGAAACTCTTGAATTTTTATTTCCCAGCAGGAGACAAGCACCCATATTGTTCCCCAGTGTTTGGGTGGACAATGTTTTTATTTCATTTGAACTGAAAAAAAATATTAATAAAAACAATGCTGTACCCAAACACAGTATTGTTTGGGTAAACAACACTTAAAAGAAAGCCAGTTCATTTTTATCACTTGAGGTTGGAGGCCCCTACTGAAACCAGTGATCTGCCGTGCTGGGATCTGTGTAAATACATGATGAGACAGAGTCTTTGGGCCAAAGACCTTGCAATCCAAACACACAAAGCAAACATTAGAGGTATTACAATCATCCTCATACTCACTGCAAGCCTTTCACATTCTCTAAGTGTGAGGCCTCTCTGCAGTTAATGGAAACATCAGTTTCACCCTGATGCAATTTTTTTACTCCCCATTTTCCAAGCCCTGTGGCTCAGCACTTGAGCCGAGTCCTGCCGGGCAGTCAGACATGCTCTGTCCTGACCCAGACCCCTGCCCACGGGCATGCTACCTCAGAGGAAAAACACACATGCAACTCAGCAGCAAGGATGCCCATTACTCAGGGCAGATGGATCAGTACCCGCTTACCCCTCTCCAAAGCAGCTTCTCCTGTGCCATGGAGGTGAGAGACACGGGAGTGCCACCTGTACGCTAGGTGGGAGGAGAACCAGACCTCCACCTGTGCAAAGGGCACCATGATGATGTGTCTAGTTGCTCGCAGATGGGTAAGCTGCTCTCCTCCCTCGATGATGTGTCTAGTTGCTACGGTAAGCTGGGTAACAGCTGGTTACAGATGGGTAAGCTGCTCTCCTCCCTGCTATCAAACAACGAAGCAGACAGAAGACACCTGCACATCTGGAAGCAATTTGGAAGGAAACTCTTCTGCAGCACTCTCCCTAACTCCCTTCTGCTTTTGCAGCGCATGGCACTTCCCCTGTCCCTTGCTGCTTGGTAAGCGTGACTGTGCACAGTGTGGGCACAAAGTATGAGACGAGAAAGGTCTTGAAGGAGGGGACAAACACCAGTATCACCAGTGCTTTTCAGCACTTGTTGAGCTTAAGCTTAACTAACTCTTTTACAAGAGCCTGTAGTGACAGTACAAGGGGTAACAGGTACAAATTGAAATCAGGGAGGTTCAGATTAGATATCAGGAAGAAATTCTTCCCGGAGAGGGGGGTGAAGCACTGGGACAGGTTGCCCAGAGAAGCTGTGGATGCCCCATCCCTGGGAGTGTCCAAGGCCAGGCTGGATGAGGCTTGGAGCAACCTGGTCTAGTGCAAGGTGTCCCTGCCCATGGCAGGGGGGTTGGAACTAGATGATCTTTAAGGTCCCTTCCAACCCAAACCATTCCATGATTCTATGATTCTATGAACTACAGAGCAGCTGAGACTTGCAGGTGTGTGCTTGCTGACAGCCCCTGGTGAGGAACTGCAT